GAAGTGTTAAATTTCGAGGAAAGAGTGCAACGCGAGTCGAATCGAAGAGAGAGGAAGGAAAACTTTCTCGTTACATCGCGAAATGTAATTAACACGCAAACTGCGCACGCCCAACAACACTATGATCCTATTATGAATCATCGATAAGCATCTTGACAGGAATCTCGGCTTGGAATTCTTCTGTCAGATAGAAGAACTTCATCGAGAATCGAAACATCGCGTGTGTCTGAACTGCCAGCTTAACATTTCCTGTCTACGAATCACACAAACAATATTATTTAAAATTTAGACCAGACATTTCTCAAAATGAAAATTCAATAAGATATCACTAAATCAGAATGCTTATATTGAAATATATTTTATGTACTGCTCACTTCTCTTTTTCCCATTTAACATTGCTGGTGTGAAAATTTTCCACCATACGATTATCATTATTTTTACGAGATACGAATTCAAAATTTATTTTAATTCGTGCAAAACGTTAAATTTCGTGTCGTTCTTTTTCTCTTTTTTTTATTTAACGTTGCAAGTATGGAAATTTTTGACTAAAAAATTGTTATTATTATACTATTATAATGTATAATTATATAATATATAATAATATGTAATTATAATATTTATATACAAATACATAATTATAATATATAATATATATATATAATTATATAATATAAAATAATAGATAATTGTAATATTTATACACAAATACATAATTATAATATTATAATATTAGATATATATAATTACATATAATAACATATAATAATAGATAACTATAATATTTATACACAAATACATAATTATAATATTATAATATATAATATATATAATTATATAATATATAATAATACATAATTACAATATTTATATACAAATACATAATTATAATATTATAATATATATAATTACATAATATATAATTATAATATTATAATATATATAATTACATAATATATAATTATAATATTATAATATATAATATATATATATATATTATTATTATTATTTTGCTTTAATTCTACGTTGTCTAAAAGGAATAAAATTCCATCGTACAAATCGCGAAACTAGAACGGACTATCGACCGATCGATCGATCGATCACGTCACGTTCAGTCGATGTCGTGGCGCGAAATTCATGGGCGGCCCCAGCCATATTTATTGAAAATCGTGCGAACAAGGTGACACACACACACACACACACGCGCGCGCGCATACTATGTACTGTAACAAGCATTTACTACGGTGATACTAGACAGGCTGGATGCCTGTGCAGCGTATTAATCGTTAAAAATTGTCGGCCTATCTCACGGTAGGATCGAAATGGTGGCGGCGCATGCGACCGTATTAACATACGGCATTAGGTATTCCGCATGCGAAGCAACCGGCGAGCTTTACTTGGATTTCTGCGGCAATTACACGCGCCTAATGGCCGCCACCTTCTTGCGGACAACGTCGACGCACAACGTGCGCGCGCGCTCCGAATTAACGTTATCCGACGATAAGGGGTTATATGCGAATTAACGAGCCATATACGACAGGCACACGACAGACACACACACACACACACGCACACACACACGCAAACACATACAACTGGGTTCTAAACTCGATTCGATACCGATTTCTGACAGTCTGGAATTTCGACTTGACTTGTGAGTGAGTAGAGTTGAGAATAAATATTGATAATTGAACGAAAAATGGAAATTGTGTACTTTTAGTAATGATTATTAACAATATTAGTTGAAGTTTATTTTATAAATGAATAGAAGATCGGTAGAAATTTATATTATGAATAATTAAATTTCATCTTCGAGATATGAAATAATTATTATTAATCGTCTATCTCTCTAATTTATGAATTAAAATGGTTATTATTAATGGTTATTATTAAAATGGTTATTATGAATTTAATTTATTATAATGAACAATTAAACAACGAGAGATTAATCCTAAATCTCATTCTAATATAATTGTTAATTTATGTAGGATTTAAAATTAATATAAAATAAAAGTAACGTTATTAAATAATAGAAACGTTTAAATTTACATATTTAATAATTCTAGGGGTGGAGTAAAGTGAAAGAAAATAAAAAGAAATATTTTAGAAGAGAGTTATAAAGTATTGTTGTATGTGTAACACCATAGATATTACAAATAAGACTGATTAACTAACCTCTGAATAATTATGGATTACGTATGCCAAAATCGAAGTTAATTTTTAGAGAATTAAATTGATCAATTTGGCTTCAACATTGGGAAAGTGAAGCTGAAGTAATGCTTCAAGATTGACCTTGTATATCTTTCGTGTGCTCGACGAGATTCTTTGTAAAAGATTCTCTTGAAACTTGCAAACTGTGGAAAATTGTTTGTTCTGAACGAACGAAATTATTGAACTGATAGATTTAATTATCGACTAATGGAGTCCTTCGAGAAGGTATTCGAATATTTTTGCAAACGTGAAAGTGACGGATAAATTTCTAAATTCAACTGAATTCTGATTATTCTGAATTGGAAGGTTGATTGTATAATCGTGCAGGTGCGGCGTAAATGATCTGCTGTTCAATTTGTAGCGACACGTTGAAAATACGGGCGGACGTTGCTGTCACAAACGAGCAACCATGCGAAAGTATGGCCGATCACGAGAAGAGACGACACACGAGGAGTCGACGCGTACTACATTTTCACGGTGAACGGAGACGGGAAATCGTGCTGATGACGTCGCGAGAATCACGCTTGCGTGAACGTCAACTTCCTTTAATTTGTTTCGCGCCGGTGTTCGAGGCGTAATAAGCACATTTCCTTTACAGGCGAGATGCAAGCCTTAAAAAAGTAATCGAAAACTCATTACAGTTGTTCGAGAGAAACGGATCAATTGTGGCCAGGAAAAATTTGGACGACTATATTGAAGAGAAAAGTTCGAGAAATGAAAGAAGCACGATGGATCGAAATACAATCGTACAAAAAAAAAATTAAATTACGTATTTTTATGTATTGGGATGAGATTCAAGCAATGAAGATTCATACGCAAGTCGAATTTCAATCTATACGTGAAATATTTAAGTAGAAGAATGATTGTTTGAAAAGAAAGCGAAAATTTGTAACCAAATAAGTTGCATTGAACTTATCAACGTATTATCACATCAATTTAAAAACGCTATTAATGAAGACTAACAATTAACAGAGTGAAATCAAGATATAGATTAAACGTCGAGATCAACTACGATAAACAATTAGATTTTCCAGATGATGAGTAATTGCTCATAGATCTTTTAATTTTACGTCGTCATTCCGAATCTATAATAAATATTCAACTATGAAATTTCAATCCATCACGAACGAATGTCGAATTCGTTTTATTTTGCTAAGAATGTTATTCTGAAAATAATATTCCTGAATTGTTAAAGATGCTCCGATAATGGTATCGTGTAATTAATGAATTAAAATTAAATGTTTGCTGAAATAGATCAGACGATTGGAACTTTGATCAATTTTCACCACACAAGTGCACTCTAATAGTATAGAGATATTTCACCTAAATAGTAGAGATATTTCACCTATTTCTCCAAAAATAATAGTATAGAGATATTTCACCTAAATAGTAGAAATATTTCACCTATTTCTCCAAAAATAATAAATTTTCACTCTACTCGATCGATTTGCTTTATTTTACTAAAAGTGACATTTTGAAAATAATATCTCTAAATTCTTAAAGATGCTCCGATAATGGTACGTGCAATTAATTAATCAAGATTAAATATTTGCTCAAATATTCAAACAAAGTTGAAACAAATTTAATTTAATTAAACGATTAATACACCACACAAGCAAAATCTAATGGTAGAAATATTTCACCTATTTCTCCAAAAATAATAAATTTTCACTCTACTCGAGCGATTTGCTTTATTTTGCTAAAAGTGACATTTTGAAAATAATATTCCTGAATTCTTAAAGATGCTCCGATAATGGTACGTGCAATTAATTAATCAAGATTAAATATTTGCTCAAATATTCAAACAAAGTTGAAACAAATTTAATTTAATTAAACGATTAATACACCACACAAGCAAAATCTAATGGTAGAAATATTTCACCTATTTCTCCAAAAATAATAAATTTTCACTCTACTCGAGCGATTTGCTTTATTTTGCTAAAAGTGACATTTTGAAAATAATATTCCTGAATTCTTAAAGATGCTCCGATAATGGTACGTGCAATTAATTAATCAAGATTAAATATTTGCTCAAATATTCAAACAAAGTTGAAACAAATTTAATTTAATTAGCACAAGCACACTCTAATAGTAGAAATATATCACCTATTTCTCCAAAAACAATAAATTTTTACTCTACTCGATCGATTTGCTTTATTTTGCTAAAAGTGACATTTTGAAAATAATATCTCTAAATTCTTAAAGATGCTCCGACAATGGTACGTGCAATTAATTAATCAAGATCAAATATTCAAACAAAGTTGATTTAATTTAATTAAACGATTAATACACCACACAAGCACACTCTAACAGCAGAGAAATATTTCGCCTATTCCTTCAAAAATAATAAACTTTTACTCTACTCGCTATCCAAACTTTACCAACAGACCATCGTCACTCGACGAAGAATACCACAGTGAACGATGGAGGAAATTCTACTCGAAATTTCTCATACGCGAAGAGAGCGCTGTTGAAAATGTAACAACGCTCGTGGTTAATTACACGCCGATCGCGAAACAATAAAACCGAAGCCGGGCGCGCGTCTAGTGTAACTTAAACGTTATCATAAAAGCCTATCTAATGGAACTGTTTCCACGGATCGCGATCAAAATAGTGGTATGATCGCGATTAAGAGGCGAAGAATTTTCCCCTGGGTACGTTGTCCCGAACACTGGCGCGGCCACGTTTTTGCAAATGCAAAACGAGACGCACGAGTATAATACGGCACGATGAGGTGCAGCGAAAGTAACTGAGCTATTATACCGCTGAGTATATAAGGCTCAGTCTAGAAAACGAGGCGGTTCAGTCGGTGGTTACACGCCACGTCAAAACATACGCGAACTCGACGATGAATATCAAGGTAAGCTCGACTCTGAATCCGCAGTTTGTGCTCGGTTTCAGTTTCAGTAGAAAGTGTGAATGGGAATACGGTTGATTAGCCGAGTGATCATTTCAATTGAAACGAATCACTTTGCTTTGAAGTAAAGTTCGGAGCTAGATGATTAAACATTACTATGAAATTTTCACGTTGAGTCACTTTCTTTTTTTCATTGAGAATTAATAGAAAATTCGACAAGCTTCGACGACTTGGAAACTATTTTCAGCGTTTCCACGTACACGGCGAGAAAGGAAATTTTCATCCGATTTCTGAGAGGGGATCTTTGTATAAAACGAAATATATAGAGTGTTACGAACTTTCTTCAGGATCAAAGATCAACGAAGAAACTAACATCCAAATCATTTTAATTTATCATTCCCTGTTATGTCTTGGATGATCTGTTGCTTGCGAGAAAAATATTTTAAAATCTTCATTAAATATTTTAAAATCTTCGGTCACTATTTTTAACTGAGAAATTACAACGAGAGCCTATCAATCACCTAAATTTCAATTACCCAACACAGACACACAGACGCGAACTACCTAATTTCCAATCGAATCGCAAATTAGCTCATCCCAACTTTCACTCGCAGTTGGTCATCGTCCTGGTGGCATTGGCCGCGCAAGCGAGTTACGCGACGAACGACAAATCAGCGGAGGATGCCGCGTCGTCTAACACCTCGCCTGTAGCCGATTCTCCCGAGAAGAAGACGGAGAAACGTGGTTTGCACGGCAGTTACGGCGACTTTGGCGGTGGCGGAGGTGACCTGGGCGGAGGTGGTTACGATCATCACGAGCACGTGAAGGCGGTGACGGTGGTGAAGAAGGTCCCTGTTCCGTACGAGGTGACCAAGCACGTGCCCTATCTAGTGGAGAAACACGTCCCGTACGAGGTGAAGGTCGGCGTTCCCCAGCCGTACACCGTGGAGAAGCACGTACCTTACCCGGTAAAGGTGTTCGTGAAGGTGCCTGTGCACGTGCCACAGCCGTACACCGTGGAGAAGAAAGTCCCTTACGAAGTCAAGGTACCGGTGGACAAACCGTACGAGGTAAAGGTGTTGGTGCCACAGCCGTACACCGTGGAGAAGCACATACCGGTGCCAGTTAAGGTGCCTGTGCCGCAGCCTTACACCGTCGAGAAGCACGTGCCTTACCCAGTGAAGGTCAAAGTTCCGGTGCCACAGCCGTACCCAGTCGAGAAGCCGGTGCCGTACGAGGTTAAGGTACCAGTGGACAAACCGTACCCGGTCACTGTGCCCAAACCGTACCCAGTCACCGTCGAGAAACCGTATCCAGTGCCGGTGGACAAGCCGGTGCCCTACGAGGTCAAGGTACCAGTGGACAAGCCGTACCCCGTGCCAGTAGAGAAACCGTATCCTGTACCTATCAAGGTACCGGTCCCTCAACCGTATCACGTGGAGAAACCGGTACCAGTCCCGGTCCCAAAGCCTGTACCATATCCCGTCAAGGTACCCGTAGACAAACCGTACATCGTCGAGAAGGAAGTACATGTACCGGTGGAGAAAGAGGTGCCGGTACCAGTGAAGGTGCCTGTGGCAGTACCGATTCACGAAAGTCACGGTGGTGGCGGCGGTGGAGGCTACGAAGATTTTTCTGGCTACGGCGGAGACAGCGGCATATCGTACTCTCATCATCGTTGATTCCTCCCGGCGATCGAGACGCTTTCTTCGACGCGTTGAGGTTCTTCGTATACGCGCTGCTCGACCTGTGGGCGATCGTCTCTGTCGCTTCGCGGATCTGACAATCGAGGAAGCGAGCCGTCGATGAAATTTCACGTTTCGATTCGTAGTATATGTCTTTCCTTTTTTTTTTTCTTTTTTGGAGGAAGGAATAAAAAGGTATCGCGAGTTGTCTCGCGTGGGGGGAGGGGGGGGGGCGAGACGGGGTCTTCAGCCTCTTGTAGCCTAGTGCTTCTCTCAAGCGTAACGTGTCTTTCAGATTTTTTTATGTAACTTAGGAGGATGCTCGTGTTCACTGAACGATATTAGCGATTTCTTCGTGACAGCCTCCCCTTCCGATTGATTCGCGTGTGATTAACATCACGCTTTATGTAGTTTGACTCGAAGGGATGAACTTCGGGGAGAGATAATGAAATTTTCCCCTCTTTTTCACTAGAGATGATCTTGAATTTTTAATATCTTGCCAATTGAAAGAGAACCAATATTTTCAAATAACAATAACCAACGTTTTCCAACTTTAAAAAAAGTTTTCTTAAACTTGCAATATTCAAGGAGATGATTTAGTATGAAATGGATCTTGTTTGAATGTCTAAAAAATTTTTAATGAAGAAGAAACGTATACCTACCTAAATGGCCTCGTTCGATCACAGAATTTTATGGGGAATCATCAGTTGAAATTAGTGTAAAAATTTATCAGTTGTTCCAAAGAAAGCACTAACATTGACGGCGTTTGAGCGAACTTTACAAGCAATAAGTTAATCGACGTGAAACAAAACGCTGCCGCGCGAAAATTGCAATTTCGCCGCAGTGAAACACTTTTGTACCTAATTTAAGTTAAGAGCGAGATAGAGTGTCTTTTTGTATCAAAGATTTATAATAAATACCCGTCTGTCATCTAACACGATCGAATGTTATTTGCCTCCTTTTTATGCGAGTTTTTCAGTTTCTATCTATTTCCCATTGGAAGTGTATTACCAATTTTCACTTTCTACCGTGGCTCGGTAAAATTTAACGAACCTGATTCAAGCATCCTTTGTTTGCAATCTAATGTAACTACACATAATGGAGAATTTAAAATGACTACTTAATTACGTAACTGCATCATATGACGAAATTTACAACACCGTCCAATTAATTTTCTTCCCCAAAATCAATCTCTCTGCATTTAATAAAATCACACTGTACGTCATTAAAAAGATAAATGTTACTCTTCTTTAAAAAATCAAGAAGAACGTCGCGTAACGTTTGATGGAACATTCGAATACGACACGACGTTCTCTCTCATAATTTACGCGTCTAGACGGGAGAAGCTAAGTTAAAAAAAAAAGTTGGCGATAACGAGCGGACGCTTTCTCGATCCGTGACGATTCACTGCCGGAAATCTCGTCCCCGCGGCAAGTTTCACTTTTGCAAAATTTCCCTTTTCACGCCACCATCCCACGCGACCAGCCAAACGAACAAACACACTGTAAATAGAAGAGAGAAAGATCGAGCGAGATGGAACGTATTGTTACATAGACGTTTCTTTCGCTCGACGAAAGAGCAGAAAAAAAAATGATACGTCGTTGAAGAAGTGCCGTATATTATTTTCACGAAAGTATTATTAAGACCTTAAAAATGATTTTAAAATTAATTACAACTCTGCAATCTCTCAATTCTGCGAAGAAACCTTATTCCTACAATATAATTTTGGTATTTATTAAATTTCTATTTCAATAATTTCTAATTTTACATAATTAAAATTTAATATAATATAAATTTAATGAGAGTAAAAATTTAAATAATTTAAATAATAAAAATTTAATATAAATTAGTATTTATTAAATTTCTATTTCAATCATTTCTAATTTTAATTATACATAATTAAAATTTGATATAATAAATTTAATGAAAGTAAAAATTTAAATAATTTAAATAATAAAAATTTAATATAATTTTGGTACTTATTAAATTTCTATTTCAATAATTTAAATAATAAAAATTTAATATTATTTTGGTATTTATTAAATTTCTATTTCAATCATTTCTAATTTTAATTATACATAATTAAAATTTGATATAATAAATTTAATAAAAGTAAAAATTTAAATAATTTAAATAATAAAAATTTAATATAATTTTGGTACTTATTAAACTTCTGTTTCAATAATTTCTAATTTAATAATCTTTAATCAATATTTATTTAATCTCTATTTTAATAATTTCGAAACTTTGAAAACTGATTTCCCAGGGAACGAAAGGGAACAAAAAAATCCAGGAAAAGTACCTACTATAGAACTTCGGTAAAATTAATTTAAACTTGGAATTCAATTAAAATTAATTTCACAGACGCGAGAAACACGTTTCATCGATAATCGGTGATAAATAACTAATTCCATTCGAACAGACATTAAAACAGTTACGACCGGTTATAGAGTCTTGAGAAATCGCCGGATACAAAGAGGACAAAAGGGGGGGGGGGGGGGGGGGAAACAGACGAAACGACGTTCAGAAGCCACTTCCGGGCGCACTTTCGATCCCGAGTAAATCTTAATCGTTTTGCGATGCAATTAAAGAGACTTATGTATATATACGTATATATACATGTGTGTTTAAGAAAGCATTACTTTCTCCGTGGCTGCTGCGCCAGTCATACGGATATATTCCTCTGGTTTCGATCCACGCGCGTACGCGCGTATATAGAAACGTCGCTGAGTTTTCTTCGAATCTGATACCAATCGTGGTTTCCATGGAACGTAGAGTTCTCTTTCTTTGCTCTCAGTATGCATCGATGATTCTTTAGTGAACTATAATAATTAGAAAATCAGAGTACTCGTCGACGTTCCTTTCGTTAAAATATCGCTTAGGTTACTGCACGACGGGCGATATTCAAAGAGAAAATTGAAAATATGAAATATATTTCTATGAAAATTCTTCAATCAACTGGATTTCTTAAAAATATTTAAATATTTCTTATATATTATTTTAAAAGTATAATATTTTTAAATATTTAAATATTTACGTCGATATTTTTAATTACAGAAATAGATGAAAATATTTAAATATTTACATCTATATTTTCAATTATAGAAATAGATGAAAATATTTAAATATTTACATTTACACCTATAATTTTTCAATAAATCAGCTGGATTTCTTAAAACTTCTATCACTAAATAACAAATTTAGCTTCACTATAAATTGTTTTAAAGCGATAAAAAAAAAAAAAAGAAAAAGAATCAAACAGAAAAGTAGAGAATTTCGGTTTTCTGCCACGCGCGTGTGGCAAAGATAAATAGAAGATTCAACGTTCGAACAACGAGCGATAAATAATAGGCTGCGCCAGTTCTCCGGAATGGCTGACGACGGCGTCGTCAGCGATTGTTCCTTCTCTCCGGCGTTATGTAAAAAGTTATGCCGCCACGGGAACTGGCTAACAATTACAAGGAATACATAACCGTATATGAAAGTGTGCGGCAAGCCGGTCTTCTTAGATAGGCGGACGAGCGGCGAACTTTTGTGAAAGTGAAAAAAATCGCGACGATTCTACCATGCGTGAATTATAGCTGGCTGGCCATCGGCTTCTTCCTACATCGGGATCCCGGCGTGCGCTTCCGGTTTTCTACCGACGCTTCGGTAATAGGAGGAAAGTGCCTTCGTTCTTTTTTTTTCTCTTTTTCTTTTTTGCCTCGACGTTAGTTAGGTTCCTTTCGAAGTTTCACGTCTCAATTGCCATTAACAAAATAAAATTGAAAAAAGTTGTATTGACTTTGTTCGTCATTTCTTTTCTGCATTGCTGTCACTCTCTTGATTAAACTGTGCTTCGGTATTTTGTTACAGAACACGTCGATGAATTGAAGTCATTAGATTTGACGCGATTGAGGCGAACAGTTCCACGCAACGTTTGAGCATCCAGTTTATATACATATATATAAAATATACAGTATATATATATATATTTAATATAGAATATATGTAATATATAGTATTATATATAGTACTATATATATAAACTGGATTATATTACTGTATATTATATATATATTTATAGTACTATATATATATAATATACAGTAATATAATCCAGTTTATATATATATAGTACGTTTATCTAAGATTTTCGTGTATCACTACACCATAATTATCTAAATGCAATGACATTGACATTTTTTTCTTATCTTACCGGCCATTTTGATATCGTTCGTTTATTAGACAAAGACACGTTTACAGAAGATAAAATGTATATAATTTTCGTCATAATTATTTCTGCGTTGTGGTAAAAGGGGATGCGCCAAATAACCATCTTCAGCTTGAAGGCAACTCTTATTTGCCTAACGTTGCGTAAGGACAATTCCAAAAAAGGAAGAACTGCGAGGAACAAAGTTAAACGTGCAACACGTTTACACAAACATTCTCATTGTTCTCTGCATGTCTCGTTAGAGAAGGTTGCAAAAGATCCTGATCCACTTTATCAAATTGCAGGAATTGTAGTAAAACTGTGTGATACATTCCCACAATTATTAAAGAACTAACCAGGCATCTGTAATTATTCCAACTTCAACAGTAAAATCAACTCGAGTACGAGCGGATTCCCAATTCGATCGTGAATCAAGTTTCCAATTAAAGGCTCCCACTGTAGACAGGTAGCTAGGCAATCAACACGGTAGAACAAAAACTAGGAAAACACTTCGTTATTCGAAACTAACTTATATCATCCGATCTTACTTCGCGTTGCTCAAACCATCGTTGATATCTTTTTTTTTTCTTTTTTTGCAAGAGGAAAAAACTGCGAGAAAGACGTACGCCATATCGGCAGTCGGCGACACGGTCGTTTACGAATCCTATATTTATTTCAGTAGAACAGAGTACCGTAGTTTCTCGAGTGAATTGCAGTGAAAGCAACAGCGTGTTACGAACGGTGCTGCTTTCGGCGAAGAACGATCGTCGAACCGTGATTGTTTAGACTCGCTCTGTATCCACACGTTAACAAGCACAAATAAAATCTCTGTCCTCCCGTCACGTCCGATTTCAACTCCCGTTCACGACTCTCCACTCTACCGCTGTGTCGCGATGGTTTCGTTTGATGAAAGATTGAAAAAAGGATCTCGCGGCTATCAAGAGAACACAGAGAAATAACGTCAGTCCTGTATATACCGGAAGCAACCGTCTCGAGACGGCGGGCTCACTCTCACTTGGGCAGAATCAACTGGCGGCTCGTTCCTGAAAAACGCATGCGAGCGAAATTTGTTCGTTGTTTTTTTTTTATCGATGACCGCGCTCGAACGCGGTTAATGAATGTTTCACGTAGTGTCGTTTGTTTAACCGCAGTGAGAATCACGATATATATATATATATTTCACAGACGGTAGAAAGTGCGGAGCGGCATTTAAACAGAAGGTAGTCTTCTAAACGACAAACGAGAGAAGATCATTGATTGAAGAAAAGTTTACACTCGATTGCTCTTGTTGGAAAATTGCGAGAATGAGTGTTTTATCCGATTCACTAATAGAGACTGTGTGCAAGAAACTCACGTTCAAATTCAAATTCTACGCGGATGAAATACCTCGGTGAACTGACTTGTATATCCACGAAGACAATCTCCAAAGATCAAAGACGCCGCCTAAAAACCAAAACACCCCTCGCAGAAAAAGAAAAGAACGCATTTCAAAGGAAACACGTTTCAAAAAAATATGCTTTTCGAGCAACAAAGATCGACAAAGATTCGGCCAATCCAGGCGACGTCCATTGTGTCGGTGGAAATTGAAACAGGACAATGTTCTCCAAACTCCGTGGACAACGGGGAGAAGGGGATGGAAGTTTGGAACCGATGAAAGGAGAATATCCAGGAGTTTCCGTGACGGGGAGATCTGAATCGCGTAAATTCAGAGGCTGAAAGCCATTATCGAGTTTCCCCCGCGGCGTCCGCGTTGCTCGCAGGTTCGTTGGTTCGTGGAGGCCACCGGGGGAGGTTGCAGCCCCTTTTATCCAATGCCGCGGGTGTCGGGGGCGCGACTGTGAAGCGAAGGCAATTATCGTAGCGAAACTTGAACGTTGCCGGCTTCGAGGCTAGCCGACGACGAGACCGAACTCCGGTGCCGGGAGTGGAGTGTTTGGCGTCTGATACGACGGGTCAGGTCCCGGGGGATTCTCAGCGACTCAGCACGGGACTATCCCGCCGCTCTCATCGCGCAGTTAATTACGGAGTCCTTCTCGTTCTCCTTCTACTCCATTTCCCTTAGTTCGCCGAGCCTTTCCACACTCCATTTCCCTTCGCTCCTTGGGCAACCCGTATCCGCCGGCTTCGAAAGCCTCCGTTGACCTCTCTGTATCTTCCTTGCTCCGATTTTCCTCGTATGAACTGAAGTGCGCAAGTGTTCAATTGACTTTAAAATCGATGTAGATGGCGTAGACGGTTTTTCTTTTTTCTATTTTTTTTTTTTTTTTTTTTTTTTTTTTTTTTTTTTTTTAGGGAGAAATGATGTTCCGTTTTCTTACTGGAAACTGGAAATAGTTTCGTTGCTGGTTTCTACTTTATTCAATCAGTCGAGTGTTTTCACTGAAAATTTTTTCCCCAAGCTTAGGTCTGGCGAATAATTTCCTATACTACTGTAGAGTTTTATTTCTTGTGGTTGATATGAATAATTGTTTGAATAATCGAACCGTGTATGTTAATGTTTGGAATGTACGAATATTATTAATAATATATACCAATGTTAATTTATTTCCTTTTCTGTATGAAGTTTTCTTGGACTAACTTTCTATATTATTGTCAGTCTTTATTGAACTAAAATAAATTTGATGCTTCGATGCATCTTGTGTTCCTGTACACCTCACTAAAGAAACTAAATATTTAAGTAGAAGTAATTATATACAGATCTTCACATTTTCAAACAAACGAATTAAACCTTCTTTCGCCAAATATTACAAATCTACATTCTTCATCGAATCAAGACAAAAAGTCAAGATACTTAATGAGTACATATCTATTCGATTGAATTCTCAAGTTTCCAACATCTAAAACACTGAATGCAATTCGAATATCTTCATTCTCAAAATTCGCAGTTCAAAATCTGAGTTTTCGGTCATTTACTTCATTCAGTAACATTTAGGGATAAAAAAGAAAAAAAAAAAAAAAAAAAAAAACAAGAAAAGTGGAAATGCAACACTTCTAAATGGAAGTTGAGAAACACACAGGTGCATATGCGTGGGCGCGTGCGCGCGCGTGTAAGTGGCTTCAACAATCAGCGGACGACAGAGGATCCCCCATGGGAATCCGAGCGAGCGAATCGTAGCGGGATTGAACGCTTGAAATGGAATAATATCCAATAATCTGGCAGCTGAGAGAACGGGATAAAAAGGGACGTTTTATCGGAACATCGCAGTAACCGAGCGAGTTCCCGAACCATTTCCGGCTTGGCTCGCTTTCTGTCTGTCCCCCGGCAACCGGGCGAAATTAATTATTGATTTCGGATACAGGCATTCACAGGCCCAGTGAGCTTTTAATCGAAAACGGACCATCCGTCTCGTTCGTTTCCGTTCGACGTGAATTCAACGATTCGCTCTAGGAGAGTCCGTGTTACGCCATCATCGCGACTCTTCTTTCAACGACACAACTACTTCAAAGATAAAACAAAAGCACAGAGAGCAAGACTTGTTTATCTCTTTCTTTTTTTCGTCCCTTTCTTCTGACATTCCCTCCTCTTTTATTTAATTCCATATAATATATCTGATTATATTTTTCGAGCAAATAAATGTTAAAAATTGCGAGATTCTACGAGTTGCATTGTGAATATTTCGTTTCAATTAAATTATAAAATAAGTAAACTCTGAGTTTACTTTGAACTCTATTATTAATAAACACTGTTATATTTAATAAAAGATGAAAATTTTCTAAATTCTAGATTTATGTAGCGATGTATTGGAAATTGTATTGATTGTAATTAAATTCAACGGAATTCGCTGCAAGTCGTTTGTTGAAAATGAATACGGTACATGCAGCACCTGCATCTATGCAACCGATATTACTGATGCAAGAATGCAAGACGAGGTATCTATCTCGAGGTTTAAAGATAATTCACGAGTATATAATTCATAATATAAAACTTGGGCCAAATAATTTGGAAAAATAATGCATATTATGAAGAAAAAGTATTAACGTGTAAACGTAAATATCCAACTCGAAAATTAAAATGAAACTTTTGTGCATTGAGATATAAAATAATACGAGCACAAACACATTTAAAATAGATCTATTTAAAATAGAAGTGATGACTAAGAATTATAAAAATAATTTATTATGTGTTACCTTGTTAAGGGTAGAAAAACAATTGTAGGATAGGAGGTACAAACTGCAATATACATGCTGTGACTTTTTTTTATCCAAGAGTGGATACAGATGGAAAGGATGGAAGCGGACTGGAGGTATTGGATTTCGATCGCACTGAATCTTCTCTTGATAACGGCAAATTCTCAATTAACTAAATTAAAAGGTAAAAAAATGTATGAATTATTTTGTTACGTGAAAACAAATTTGAAGATGTTTAAATTAATGTTAGAACTATTAAAACTTAATTAGATGTTAATATATGAATAAATGCACAGACACAAAAATAATTAGAAAATGGTATCAAGGATTATTTGATAGAACATAAAGATATAACATATAATTTACTATTTTTGAATCTGATTTGAAAAAAAAAGTGAAAATACAAAATTGTTTATCGTGTAGAAATTCCATATCGTTTAAATTAAAAATGTATGTGTAATTTGCAGATATACAATATTTGCATAGCACACATCTGTTGCTTATAAATGTATGTATTCATGTCAATAAATTTAACATGTCTTAAATGCTCTAAATTTTAAGCAATATCTTTAATCACCTCCTGTAATTCGGCTTTCGTAAACATATGGAATAATTTCTCTGGCGTCATTGTCATTACTTCTATATTATTATCACTCAATTTCTCTTCCATAACTTGCTTCAATATAACCAAAGCAGCTTTTATTGCTTCTTTAAGTGTCATAGACTGTAACGATATTGTAAACCATTATAAAAATATTCATTAAAAATATTTATTATTACGAAAAACTGATTTTTTACCTTATGATAAACTTCTTGAAGGTTCTGTTGTGCACCCTCACTACCAGACCCAATAGCTTTAGCATCAAATTGTACAAAAGTACCAGAAGGATCCATATGATACAACTGAGGCCCTTTCTCATCAATACCAGCAAATAACATTGCTACACCAAATGGTCTCGACATAGCACTACCATCATCGTCGCTATCTCCAAATTGTATAGCTAAGTTAGATACAGCTTGTGCTGTTGATTCCACAGACATTTTCTCATTGTAGACAAACCAATGATTTTGACATTCTACTCTAGCACGATCAATCATAGTCCTAGAGTCAGCTATTAAGCCTGATGCTGCGCATCCAATATGTTTGTCAATTTCTACAATTTTTTCTACAGTTGTGGGTTCCATTAAACTGGAAGTGATACGTTTTTCCACAACTAATACCACACCCTCCGATGTCGCAATTCCAATGGCAGTGGAACCAAGTTTTATAGCTTCTATGGCATATTCAACTTGGAATAATCTTCCCTCTGGAGAGAAGGTATTGACACCATGATCGTATTCGGAACGTGTTAGAAACATCTGAAAACAAAATAGATACATTGTTAAGATTCATGTTCACATAAAATACAAACACTTACATTGAAACTTTGAGGTTATGACTTGACAAATTTAGTAACAACATATTTAATATTATTTTAACAATAACGTGCATAAAAAATACGTTTCAAAAATAATTAAAACAAGTGTATTATTCCTTAGTTAATTCAATAATGATTGTAATAACGAGAGAAGGCCTAAATAGAAAGAGGTTACCTCGGAATGACATAGCAAAACCAATGGATTAAACTTACATGGATATAAAAACTAGCACATATTAAGTGTTTTTTAAAGTTAATTATTGCTTGAAAATTAAAAAGACTTACTTTTGAGATACTTTCAAAATTTCAGTAGAAATTGCTTAATAATAATTTTAAGCCGATAGTCACAAACGCTAGTCACGAAGGGACTTGAATCTAATGGCGGGGATAAATACAGATACGTATGTTTAACTTTCAGAACCCCGAGTCTAAAGTAGAATTTATTCCTAACTTCAGACTGTAGAAATATTTTTGAAATGAAAATAATTGAAATTGATTATATCTATCATTAAATTATATAGTCATACTACAAAAATTATAACGTTGATAACAAGAATTTTTTAATAACATTAATAAATAATAATTTGATATGATTCACTAGTTTATACAATGTTAATCAAAATATATTCATATATTAATCTACTATTAATCAGTATAACTATTAATTAATTCTAGATTACTTTCAATTCTTTTAATTCAAGATTACTTTCTATTCTTTTTTGCCGTGATTAACTTTATTAAACTTACGTATTAAACTTTTGTGTACATATATGGTTTAAAAATGGCTCCTGTAACATTCTTATTTGAGGTTATATCATGGGATTATTTTATACAATATACATAAGATTTCCATTTCTTTTTAAGTTTTTAATAAAATAAATAACGCTATAAATAAAAATGGACAAAATGAATAATAGAGATGTTAATTTACTACATAAATTTAAATCTGCTTTTGCTGAAAAGGATTGGAATGAATTACTAAATCTTCTTAACCCAAAAATGTTTAAACCTTTTGACTCAAAGTATGATTTGTCAAATAACATGATATAATATATAATATAATAATAAATAATTCATATACAATTAGTATAACAACGATTGAAAAATTTCAGGGAATTGGTTCCTTTACCAATTTTAGCAAAAATAGCACAAATTCTTACAACAGAAAATTCTGATGTTCCAAACAGTGTAAAAATTGCTTGCTTAAAATGTCTTGGAAATTCTTGTTTTAATAATTATATGCATAAAGAATATGTTTTAACTAACATTGAAAAAGGAACATACAGTCACGAGTTGTATTCCAGTCTAGCGAATAATGAAAATTTAGAAGAGATGAGAAGTTTTAATCCTTATCCATTTGATTCTTACTTTCCTTATGAAGGAGTGATAGAATGGACATTAAGGTTTATTATAACTTCTAAAACTGACAAGGATTTATTAAATGAGAAATTAGAAATTTTGAGATTAAGTATTCAGTTCCTATGTAATCTGTTTACATTTGCATTTAAAGATAATAACTATCCAGACCAATGTGATATACCACAATATTTATACGATAGTAATTTAAAAGATATAATAATGTAAGTATTATTAATACGTTACTATATTTCTATCTTACTATGTTGAAATATTTTCTAATACATTTTTTTATTTCCTTACAGAGCTATGACACATTCTGAACATGTACCAATTGTTAGAGCTTCATGTGCATTTATACACAATGCTTTAAAAGAATTTGAAGGAGAAACTTTCTTGGAAGAAGAAATGAAACTTTTATGTTCGCAGTTATTGAGACCATCTAAAGAAGGTTTTGAAAGTGCAAAGGAAGCTCTTATGCTTTTATTATGTGAAAAAGACATGCTACAGTGTACATACAGTAATATGACTAATGAAAATAAATTATGTTTATTGGAAATAATTTATAATGAACTCTCAGATATAACGTACAAATCTGAAAATGAACATATGTTTACAAAAGAGACGATTGAATTTTTAATTGAAAGATTTTGTAGACGAAGTGACTTAATTTTGAAAACAGTAGATATGTGTTTAGATGAAATAGAATCTACAGAAATTATTATTCTTCTTGATATTCTTGGAGTCATAACTTCAAGATCATGTGAAGAATTCAGTTCTCTCAAGGGTCATAAAAGCTTGCTTATTAACTGCATTTGTAAGTACACTTCTTTGTGTTATAACTATTTTGGAGTATAAAAATATTTAACACTGTATTTTTCACAGATTTATTACAGTCTATTCAAATAATTGGAAAACAATCAGATAATTATTTTACACCACTGCAAAAGCTGAGTGATGTAGCTTCAGCAATACAAGGAATAAGGAATAGTGATTCAAAACCATGTTCAAGTAGCGATGAAAATAAATTAAATACAACAATGACTGACCTGCAAAATCATCCTACATTTGGTTTTAAAGCTGGTTTAATAAGGATTATTGGAAACATGTGCTATAGAAATAAGGAATGTCAAGATCTTGTAAGTATTAAATTTTTGTTCCCGAATAATATTTCAAACAAAATATTTGTTACCAACTGTCGGTAATATAATCTACCACAGACGAGGTCTCACGTCCTTGGAAAGTAGCGCCTACAATCCCGTACGGAAGTAACTGCAACTATGTCATGTATTAGAGAATAACTGCGATAATTTACCCCATACATCGAATAAACGAAAAAGACCAAAGTTTCTTTTTTTTATTAGTTATCGATTTAATAATTTTTAAAGCGATCTCGTTTATCTTTCGGATTCTAACCTTCAACCCTGATCGTTCATTTATCACGTGTACCCGCGTACAAAGACTTTTTGCGCCATAGATCATCCTCTGACGCACGAAACAAAAAACAATAAAAGACAATGAAGCGCAGGATAGAGTGTAAGTGAATGTTACAAACCTTACGTTCGAAACGGGCCTCCGGTTGCTCGGTTTTTATTTAACTCCTTTATGCGTACACGGGCTTTCGAGCGATCATTATTGCTTTTTATTGATTTCATCTCTCTGGCGCGCTAGAGACGAGGCACAAAAGAAATGAAAACGTATCCCGCGCGGCGCGTACTGTTCACCGAACAAAGGAAAATTAAGTATCCTGTCCGAGTCGAAGACGCGGCAATTTAACCAGCATCGGATATCGCGTTAATATATTAGCAAGTTCGAAGCCATGGCCGCTCTTTTACTGCGTTCGAATCGTTTTATCTCGGTGCACGCATGCGCACCACACAGGAGCGTGCATGCGAAGGAGACCTCGACTCCTTTCTTTTTTTTTTTTCCTTCACTTTTTATTATTCATTTTTCTTTTTATCCTTATTCCTTCTGTATCTGTATCTGTTTGTTATGGTTTGAACGGTTGGAGAGGTGTCGAAGGCGATCGTGTTCTTAAATTTCGTTCTGTAAACACGGTGTTTCGATCCCTCTTCCGAGCAATTTTCAAATGTGTGTATCCTCGTCGCGATTGGTCGTAAAATTATGTGACGTTTTCCCGTCGTTATGCCGTTAATATATAACCCGGTGATGGTTTCGGGCAATTTCTTTGAAATGCGCGCGGTTCGTGGTAGAAGATTTATATAAGTGTACAGATAAGTGTGTACCTGTTTACGATGATCGTCGCGGGATGCTTCTTGAGTTGCGTTTGAAGAGAAAAAAAGAATTTTCTCGCGGAGCCGTTCTTCGTACGTCAGCTTCAATTTTCAACGATGGCCCGAGCTGTATGAAGTTAGGTGCTCGTCGATAAAATGTATCGCCGTTCCGACATGCGATTCAATTACGTTCCATTCGATTTTCAATGGCGGTTCATTTTTTACGAATGAGAGAGTGTCCGTGAACGCGGCCTGTAACGCACTCGGTCCGTGCAAAAATAATATTTTTTTTATGTCTGTGCGAATGGCGAATGCGATAAATCAAACTCCACGTCGCTGCTATAAAAATAAATTAACGCTCGTGGTGCTATGACGATGTAATACATTTTTGGTAACGTATCTTATCCTTTTACGGCGCGTTGCGGAGGCGTTTATTCGAGTTCAAAGAGAAAATTGCAAGATAAAATCATATAAATTCAAGTTTGAAGCTTGAAGTTAATAGACATCGTTACGATAGATCTTCCTTTCGATCATGCATCGCAATTTTCTTTTTCACTATCTCAACGTTCGTAATGAAGTAGACCATAACCTAACTCTTTTTTTTTTTTCTTCTTTTTAAACATTTCTAACTCTTTCTGTCTTTAATCGTAACTCCTTCATTTCGAAGATCGAGTCAAACATTCGTTTACGCAGTATATAGCATTTGCAATAATTCAGAAATATCCAAATGGACACATACTCGTGTACGATTTGCAAATTTACGCGACGTGCCGCCGTTTTTTATGCGCGACATCATAAGCAGGTTCACTCACACGTGTTTTTCAACGACGTTGAATGTTTTCAGCTTCGTGAAACGAACGCCGTGCCTCTGCTTCTGGACTGCTGCAATATAGACGCGAGAAATCCGCGTAAGTAATCCAGGCTCGTCCCTTTCGAGCTTCGCAGTTCTTTCGCTTATTGTGACTCGCGTGAATCTTCAATGATAACCGCGACACGTTAATTAATGCCCGTGTTAAATTTTACACGCGCAGTTATAATGCAATGGACGATCCTCGCGCTGCGTAATTTATGCGAGGATAATCCGGCGAATCAAGAGATCATACGGAATTGCAGCAGAGTCGGCGTCGTGGAGAGCAGCGTGCTGCGGGAAATGGGTGTCACGCTGCACGAGGACGAGGACGGAAAGAAAATTGGAATCGTGCCCTTGCCGGGCGAACGAAAATAACGATCTTTATCGGAGATCTTTTCAGTGGAGCCTCTTTGGCGAAGTTTTCATTGATTGGCTTGAAAAAAAAGAAAAAAACGAGGTATGATTAATAAAGAGTATATGGCGATTCTATTTTTGATGTCTTGGGATATTATTGAATTTGATATTTGTTTTGTTTGCTTTGTTTTGGATTCTTTTGTCTGAAATTTGACTTTGGTATCGTTATTGTTTTTATATCGATTTTGGTAACTCGTGTTGTTAGAATTTTGAATGAAGTTTGGTGGATTCGAATTTTTGTACCAAGTTTTGCAACGCTGGTAATATGGTACCAAGAATTTTCGTTTCCAATCTTAATTGTACCAAATCCTATCGAGTTGCAACAAAAAGAACATGAAATTTCTCCATTTTTATATCCCATAAAACTCACAACTCCTATTTTATTGATTTCCACCTTCTGTCAATAAACTAGCATATTTTTAATAACTTTTGCTTCCCCGTTTTATATAAAAATATCATTAAACAAACAACCGTGCGAATTTAAAGAGAAAAGTACTGGGAAAGAGTAGACTAAACATAGTGGCAGTGATGAACTTGATCTCCAACGGTACATTTGATTCAGTTTCAAATTGGAGGGACAGCGATCGCGACGATCGCTTTCTAAAATCTGGATAGATCGTACAGATGCCAGAATCACGCGTCTCGTGTTAATTATATTACTATTTAGCGTGTGTACCGATAGCTCACTCGTATGTGATATCGGTGATCTCTTTATCGGGAGTTAGACCGCAATAATTACTCGAGAGTTAGGCGGACTGCGAACGTATCTTTCGTGGCGTGTGTCGACCGTAAAATAAGCCTACAATTATAGTACATGATAGGTACCATTACATGAAATATGATATCGTATTGCGTAAAGAGGCATTATATCTGCATTCGCGGCCGGCTGATTTACGATACAATAAAAGCTGCTACAGGGTTCACGGTCTATTAGTAGTTACTAATGCAGTTGTACAACTGCACGTCTGCATCTGTCATTGTGCAAATTCGTTTAGAAACGAACGTTTATTTGCCATCGTTGAATATTGACGAGGTCTTGCCATTGTTCAAGTTTATTATCGACTTTCATTGGCATAATGAAAATAGAAATGTTTGGGCTCGAGTCCTGTTGCGATTCGTTTACGTATATGTCTTATCATTCATCGTTCGGAGATATTCACTACATCTTTTTTTTCTATTATTAATTCGTTGATATTTTTGTAAGAGAGTTATAATGAAATTGAGACTACTGCTACTACAGCCATAAATTTAAAGCTTATTTCTCTGTAACTGAACATTCGATATTATTTATGGTCTTTTTACGGTCATGAATATCTTGATTAACGTGATTTCTCGGTAGGGATCATTAATTATCGATCTTTTGCCCATACATTATTATATTTCGTACGTAAATTAATAAAATTTACATCTTATATAAAATACGATACCGATGGAAGGGCGAGATTTCTGCGTAAATTAAAACTAGATAATATTTTGATCACGATGCTGGAGATTATTTATTTTTTTTTATTTTTTTTTTTGAGAGAGAATTTAAATAAGATTATAAATCAGAAAAATTTTACGAATAGACAAGTTTTTAAATTTGACAAATTTAACAAACTCTCTACGATTGTTACAAGTAAAAGATTTTTTTCCCATTATTACTATTTCAAACGACACAGCGCGCTTGTAATTTTACTTACTTACTGTTACTCTAAATTATTGTACAACAATTTTTCCACCTGCTAGACAACAATTTTTCTTCACTTTCCAATTCAATAAACAGTGGAATTTCTCTTTCAACTCTGAAATACCACCAGCGTCGCTCTAACATCGAGAACCGTACATTTTTCAGATACGAATAGAAATCGACGGGTAATTAGATTGATATCGCGATCGAAATCCGTTCAACGTGAGTCACTGTTGTGTAAACGTTTTACAAAATATAATGATAGGTTTCTATCAATACACACGGACGTGATTCACGACCTAATCGACTCTAACCAAGTGTTCGCTGATTTATGGTCTATTGTGCATAAAGAACTGCACCGCATTCTTTCATTTTCCCGTTTCGTTATTATTCATTATCGTGGTGCTGAACATATGTTGTTTAACTTATTCGAATGATTTAAGTTACCGTGGAAGAGGAATTGGAAAAGATAGCATGTACACATGTCGACAGATCTCGCAGAAAAGTATATTATACGAACGATCACAGTGGGAAATCATAAAATTTATAAATGGGAGATCTCGTGTTCAATAAAAATTGCTCTTTTCGTTTCGTCGAACAATGAGTTTCAAAGAGTTGGGAGAACACTCGTGGAAGCAGGTTGCCCGCGCACGAACCGCGGGAGATTGCTTTTAATTTAAATATCAAGCGATGGTGGACGATTAATCTCGAGCGGATATAATGGCTAGCAATTAACGTGAAATTTATCAGCTAATTATACGCGGGGGTTAATCGCATCGAGATAATGATTCCTTTATAAAGCGAAACGACGAGAGGGACCAAAAAAAGAAAAAAAGTAGATAGAGTAAAGAGATAAGAGTAAAAACTTGCATCCTGATGCAAGTTTTCGTAGAATTTCAATAAAATTACCTATTCAACTACGTGCTTCAACTACCAGCGTTTAGACAAAAAATAAGTATTTAGCAATTTGCTGGAAGATTGAAAACAGATTATGAAAGAAATACCCAATGACTTGACATTAAAGACACTATATCCTGATATCTGAGTCAAAATGATTCATTGACACCTTACACAATGAAAAATATGCAGAGCGAAGTAGAAAATTGTGAAGATAAATGACAAAAATAAAATTTCTATATTTTCAATATATTTTCGTGCATTGCTCTGCATATTGCAATGCCTGAGGTGTGCTTGAAGACTTGAATACACAACGTTGAAAACACAACAAAAAGCAAAGGAATCTTTCGTTGAAGACAAGTTTTTAATGTCTTCTGATGAGAGGTTCGACGACGTAATATTCATTTTACATGTAATTAGAATCTCTATCTGGAATGCATAAAATAAGTACTCGTATAATATGGTATCTGATTTCAACCAGAAATATCGTATCGACCAGCCGGACAATTTTTTGTTCAGCATCGTTGCTGATTAATATTCATAGGTTCTGATGGCCGATGCGTGAAAGCACGCCGAACCTCGAGCTTCTCGTTCGATTGATATTTGGATCGTTCAAACGGCGAAAACTCCTCAGTGTCAAAATTCTGAAATTTGGCGCGGAAGCATAAAGTGACGTTAAACGCAAGGAAGTTGTACAATTACTCTTGATAATAATTTTTTTTTTCAATTCTCTACACCAGCGCAGTTAATTCCCTGATGAAATTGAAAACATTGAATTGCGCGGTTGGGCATGTAAATTGCTCTTGTCTGGATGATTCGCGATTCAATTAGTTGGCCTGACCGGAAATCGAGTGGAACGCGAGAAACACAAGCGGCGCAGGCAGCGTGTAAACAAGCGGAAAAGTAAATCGGCTAGCATATATTAATAGTGGCGGCGAATTGAAGCCTATGTCGGCGCCTAATAAGTCGTGGATCCCCTTTTAAACGATCCTTGCCTCGAACGGACCTGTGCGCCTACGCGAAACTTCTCTCTGAAAGAGAGCCGACAGGCCAATATATTTCCCGTATGCATTTGCGTATATCGATCGTGTACAAAAGAGTTACGTCGTTATACTTAATTGCGTGTCGATGTTAACAAAGACGAATTCATGATGAGAAAAGCAGAAGTTTACATGGCGCTGGTTCAACATTCTTTCATTATAAAAATAAAATACCTAGAATTGAACTAGAAATTGATTTACACATACCGGCAATTCACGGTTTAGTTCATTCAGATTAAGTAACATTATTACAAATGAGATTATGCATAATATTAATAATAATACACAAGTAGTACCTGCTTAATCTAAGCTTGACCTACTATTTAGAATTACAAAGGTAGGATTGCCTGTGTTCAGATTTGATATAGCGTTGTCGGTTAACAGCTTCATCTTGTAATGAAATTATTGTATAGAAAGATATTGAGTTTAAAAGAACCTACGTATAGTGAGTAAACTAAAGTAAACTCGCAAAAATTCACAACTCCCTTCTGTCTCTGCCAAAGTTCCAATAAAAATTCACGATTCTCCCTCAAACCAATAAAAACCTAATGCGAGAGCAATTCTCATCTCAAGGAGAAATGAATCATCGAGAAATTCCGTAAAGAAAAAAAGAGGGGGGGGGGGAGAATTCGTTTCCCGATTTCGCGAGAAGAACGAAGAAGAACTTTCTGTTACGCGGCGCGACGAGTGGGTCCATCGAGGGCCGACGATCGCGGCTCCGCTTCTGCTTAAAGTTTCAAGCGACGGTTCCAAATATCCGAGCTTTTACGGTCCATAAAGGGACGAGGGCTGCTTTTAGTGGCTATTACACGAATACCCTGGACCGGCGCAACATTTATGGCTCATGCACCGTGTGCAGCAGTCGTTAAAGCACATTTCGTGCAGGCCAGTGCGAGAGGCTGAACGTAAGTAAGTTCTCTGTTTACGTTCACGACTTTTTCTTTCTTTTTTTTTTTTTTTACGCACGACGTTTCTTCGCTAGAAGATCCCTCGGGATCTAGCGGCGGAGGACGACATCCTCGTCTAGGAGGCGAACACGCGTCAACTTTAGCGAATGTTTTATGACAATTGAACCATGCTGACCGCATCCGTGGAACACTGGCCTTAACAAAGTAAAACTATACAACTTCGTTCTGTTTTTATCTTGATAGTTCGTTTAATGGAAACTTCATCGCGAGGGAAGGGATTTGTCAATTCCCTTGGGATACCTTCATGGAAATTCTTAAATTTGATTTTATAGTGTTGCAGCGTGTTCAAAGATTTTTACATCTAGAAGAAGTTAATCTAATAATTGTTGCATTCTGGGCTTTTATTGTTGAATAATTTGTTCTTGAGAAAAGTATATTGTCACGATTTTGCATCTTAAGCGTATGTCGTTCGATGTTTTTCGTCATACGTCGAAATATATGTGTGTTGTTAAATAGCCTCTTTTTGAGAAAAGTTGTATAATTCTATAGTTGTATAGTTCT